GGAAATAGATGACTTTAATCAAAAGTGCTTCATTTTTCTAATGGGAGGAAATTGTGAAATATCTTAGATGGTAGAATTTGATGTACTCTATCACCGGTAGAAATTTCAGAGCAATTCATTGTTTGACGCACAAAATGTGATTGACCGACATTTTGGCAAAAACAACTATTTAAATTGTATTTCAGACATTCTCAGAGGATTGATGAAGACTTTTGAGATTTTATGTGCAGAAGGACAATATCTTAATAGTTATAGTTAGAAAAAAAAAGTCGAAAATCTCACAAATTGAAATGCAAAAGCTAATTTTACTCAAAAAATCACTATTAAAAATTATGAAAAATTCCTTTAGTATTTTAATTATTTGTACAGGAAAAAGTGATTAGATCGAGCTGAAAATTTCAAAGAATACTAAACTCACTACTCTCTACAACATATAAAAAAAATCAGCGAATTTTGAGGTGTCTTACCATCGTCGATGTCTTATAGTGACTGATTTTCGCAGAGACTTGCTCTTAAGCATTAGGCTTGATAAATTTAATATTAATGCCAATAGGACATTGCTAGTCTAGAACTTACACGAAGTTTATGTATTCGAATTAAAAATAATGCTAAATTAATTCTAACATCTAAGCATTAAATAATTCTAATGTCAATAATGCTTAAGCATTAGGCTTACTAAATAATGCTAATGCTTAAGCATTAGGCTTACTAAATAATGCTAATGCTTAAGCATTAGGCTTACTAAATAATGCTAATGCTTGTACATTAGCATTATTTTAATACTAATGCTAATATGGCACCCCTAATAGCATATTAAATGTATTCTCATAGTTATTCTTGTGAATTTCTATGTATGATACACTTTTATACACAACTGAATATGATCACTGTTTGTTATATGTCCAGCAAATGAAACAAAATTTGTAAAAAATTGAAAAACAAAAAGCAATCGAAAAAGATGAGAATTAAGTTCTATTTAATTTTAATTGAAGTCTAGTTCAATCTAAGAAGTTGTCAAGTTTGTGAGTGTACTGAACTGAAATCTAATGTCTCAGGAAGCTTTGGCAAAAAAAAAGAAAAGATCTTTAAGCTTATGTTTATTTGAATAGTATTTTTATCGATGTCTATTTATTTTTGAATTCGACCTGGCTAATAGATGATATTTTGAAGTATGAATATATAATGTTGTTAAGTTTTATTAAGTTAGGTTTCAACAAAAAAAAAATGAAGGAATTTTTTAGCTTGTGTATTTCTTGTAGTAGAATAATAAATGTCTTCTGTTGGAATTGAATGTTCAAAAAATAAATACGTTGATTTGTTTGTTCATAAAAAAGATCTTCGAAGATCATTTTCTGATGTCAACGTAGATGTCATTTATGCATACATTATAATATGGAACAATGAAAATGAATATTCTGTCTACTTAAAAATAACAAGTACGTGTTATGATCTCTTAATGAAAATGAACATTAGAATTTATTGTTGAATAAAATAAAATTATTTCATAGTTTTTCGCTTGAAAAAAAACCGAAATTTGCCTAAGTTTATTTTTATTTAAAACTCAATTTTGTCGATGATTGACAAGCATGACCAATTATTTTTTCGTAAAATCGATTGTATTTTGCGTTAAACTGAGAAATATTTCACCTTTACGGAAAGTTTAGTATTCTCACACATAACTTCATTTGCACACTCTTATCAGAGATGAGGCTGGTTCGATTTGAACTTTTTAAAAATTCGGATCGGATCAGTTGGGTTCGAAAAAAAACACGAACGGATCCTATCGGTGACTCTTATCAATTCTATCTGACAACAATTATAAAACTATTTAGTAAGTTCAAATTGTGCACTCTACTGACTCATGACCTACTCAAGTTTGTAGAATAAATCTTTATATTAGACTTTTCACGATTGTTCTAGTCGAAGAATACATTGAATACAATCGCAGAGAATCCTTTCGTATTTTTAGTCTTAAAAAAATAAAATAATAAAATCTAAAACGAATAACAATCAAAAATTCTTTTCTATGATTGTCGATCAAGTCTTTTTTGAAACACATATGTAATAATATTACATTTTACATATAAAATATCTTTTGTTAATGTTCCACGAATTATTTCTTCTCAATCATTGAGATCTAAAAATGATAATTTGTGATTGAATAATTGCACCAAAGAAAAACAAACATAACTAATAGAGATTAGAATAGTCAACATAAATAAATGCAAATAAAATGGTTTAGATGAAAGTCTAAAATACATCTGAAATAAATTCATCAAGAAAAGTTTCAATATATTGTTAAATATCTTTAATCAATACTTTAAAAAAGAATTAAAACAAATTTCAAATTCGATTGATTGTAAAGCCATATTTGTTTGAATTTTCTAATTAAATTTCAATTGATGACTCAATATTTATCTTAATGAAAAGTAAACAATTGAAAAATTCAAACCATTTAAATTTTTTATTTGAAGAATTTTCTCAACGTATTAATAAAAATAATCTATTCTGTTTTCAATCTTATCAATATGGTCACATAAAATTACAACGTATTCATAATTATTGCGAAAAACATGGATTTATATTGAATCATTCAACAATAAATACAATTCAAAAATCTTTTGCAAATATGATTACATCAGCATTTGATTATGGCGTTGGAGAAAATAAATTAAATAATAAAACGACTGATATTAAATTACAATTAACACATGTTAATGCATTACCTAGTCGAAGTGAACAAGGAAATTTTATTATTATTGAATTAGGGAATCTTATTGAAGATGTACGATATAATCTTGTTTCATTACTTGGAAAACAAATACCATGTTATGATATTTTACATAGTCAAGGTTATAATCTAGCAGAACACATACGTAAAAGTAATGGTACTATATTGCTCGATCAATTGGCTATTGGATTGAATGACTTTTTGCAACAAGTGAGTAATAAAATTAGTCTTAAAAAGAATTGTAATTCAAGATTATTAATCTCTATAAACACAAGAGGTCGAGTTGATTCGTGTTTTTTTTTGAAACCGAACTAATTCAATCCCATATTTACTATGGCCTAAACTACAGCACTCAACCAAAATCTCTGCCATAGAGATAGACGAGCCCAAGTTTTTTTTGGTCCCAGTTCCACTAACTTCTTCTCTATTGATTCCAGTCTAGAAAAAAACTTATTCCAGAATTGATTTATTTAGACGATGACTAGCACTTTTTGGGATTCTCTCTCTTGAATTATGTTCTGGTTGATAATTTATAAGATAATTCGCTTAAAACCATAGAATATTTAACTGTATTATTTAACTTCGATTAGGACAACTTTTTTCTCATAGTTCCGGTTCCAGTCCCAGCAACTTCTCTTTTCCGTGATCCCAATATTGGTCACTGGAACTAAGACTGGTCCAGCATATCTTTACTCTAGTCCCCCGCATTTTGTGATCCGTAAGATCTCGTGAAGTAAAATATTGTAGGAGTGATTTTCTTGATGCACCTTGATCGTTGGTACAAACCACAGCTTGAACATCTTTTAATCTCATAGGATGTAAAATTTGATCCAGTTGATATTTTGACTTTTGGGGTATTTTATCTGTCAACGTCTAGCTAATTAATGAGGCTTTAAGTACACAATGTATGAATCTATTTTCTTAAGCTCTCATAGAACAAAAGTCATTTTTACTAATGGCCTCACTTTTTCAGAATCCTTATATTACTCTTCTACATAGCTGAACTCCTAAAGAATATAATATTTGAATGCCAAATTTTTCTCAAATATCTCTCTGCTTCTATCCTACGTGTTCTGCAAGTTTCAGCCGAATATGTTATAATGATGAAAAATGGCGTATCTGTCCATGCCGTTCAGGTCGAGGTCCTAAAACATCATAATACGAAAACGAATTAGTTGAAAATTTCATCATTAGAAGGGCATCATCTGATCTTCATCTCTCTATATATGAAAATATTAAAATTTTGACACATGTCTGTTTTTTAACAGTACAACATTCGTCCAAGTTAGTTTCTCGTATAATTGGAAACAACTAATTAATTTATTTATACGTAAATCTCATATAATACAAAAGCGTTTGGACTATGGTTTGTGTTGAAATCAGGGCTCATCAAAAAGGGCATTCCTGTAAAGTTTCAGTTAACGAGATCATATGGACTCAAAGATCCAAGAAGTCGAAGTCTTTTATGGGGTACTGTATAAAAACATTGACTAATTTCAACATGACATATTAAAAGAATAACACATCCCATATATTTAAAGCACAATAATAGTTGATTTGATAGACTTAACGATATTTCCGTATCAGTTGATATCAGTAATGTCATTTTTTTGAACTATAAAAACGAACTGAATTCGTGCTCTACAATTTTGATTTATTTCGATTTCCTGTTAAAAAAATATCGACTAATATAACAAAAATCAGTGCTTTCATTACTTGAAAATAAAATACTAACTTTCAAGTAATTAAATAAATGAATCTTAGGATATAACAAAGACAATTGAAAAATTTTCGAATATGATATATTTGATCAAAACTTAAAATTCGATTCGAGCTTGTGAAAAGAAATTTAACATTATATAAGACTAAAATTTCAAGAAAATATTTTATAAACTATTTAAATTAGTTTAATTCTTTCTTATTATCCAATTAATTCTTATAAATTACGAAAAAACAAGTTTCATTTAATCAAAAAAAAAATATTTTAGATTTCATCAAATGAAAAACTTCCTCAATCACTTCAACTTGGTTTACTTTTACATTTTCCTATAAAACAAAATGAACTTAATCATGCTGAAATATTATCTTGGTCAAATCGTTTTAATTGTCCTGATTTACTTAATCAAGATTTTATTAAACTTTTTTATCAATCTATTAAACAATATATATTATATTATGAAATAAATTTAACAGCATGTATACAAGAAAGTGTTGCTGCATTAATATCTGTTGCATTTGAATATCCAAATACATTAATTTCACTTATATTTAATCATACATTTCAATTATCATTTGTTGAAGATATAGAAATATTACGTTCAAAAAATTTTTTTCAACAAATTAAATTACGTGCACTTTATCAAACAATTCTTTCATTTAATTTTCAATTTATACATTCAAATAAATCAATGAAAAGTCATGCTTTATTTCAAACATTATTAACATCTATTGATATATATGTTATGAATAAATTAAATGTTAATTATTTTGATATATTTACATGTGATTCATGTTTAATTGAAATAATACGATTATTAATTAATGAATTATGTTTACATGAACAATTATTACCATATACATTATGGTTAAAATCAAAATTAAATCAATATGGTTCAATATGTTTAAAATTTGTTTCTTATATTTTACAAGGTAAATATTCAAAATTAAAATTATATTTAAATAAATTAGGTTTAAAAAAAATTAAAAAAATTAATTTAATTTATATGGAATATATATGTCATATTGTAATTCGACGTTCAACACGAATTCTTTCTTGTTTAATTGCTTGTTTATCTGATCGTTATAATGAAGAAAATTTAACTATTGCTATTGATAGTTATCTTTATCGTTTATGTCCTATTTATCAAATATATATACATCATGATATTGAATATTTACGTAAACCATGGATAACTATGTTTCATTTTGTCAATGCAACAAATAAATCTTATGTAATTAAAAAAAAAAAAGAACAAGAGAAAGTGTTCAATAGATGGTATCCTATAAAGGAAACGTATATTTAGATCTAAACGTATGAATTCATAGAGTTACAAGATGATATCTATACAAAGAAATCTCGTCAATTGGAGAAAGTTAACCGTTTATTAAGACAAATGTTCATACAAAACTCATCAGTTGTTCAAAGTGAAAGAATTTAAATTACTCAAAGCCATATTGACGATAATGTAGGGTATTGATCAGATTTCTTTTTAAAATATTTGCCTTTATTTTTCTTGATATTCATATACGACTATCGTTCTCATTTGCTGATATCTTGAGTGATTCAACTATTTGTTTGGATAATATTTAGCGTTTCAAGCATTTTAATATCAAAATAATTATTTGTAGATGTCTAATTAATTGAATTGTCTAAAATTTTTTCAATCAGTTGTTATAAATATTATTCTATTGTATTAGTATGATCATTAATAAGTTTGTTTGTCCTCGAACAATATCCATATATAATTACAAACATTCATTGTATTTTATTTTCATTATAGCTTGGTCCAGCAGCTGTTATGGGCTTACAAAAGACACAAAAAGCAATGATTAATCAAGATGATAATATTAGTCATTTATATGTACATAAAAAACGACGTCAACATACAGAATCAACTAAATTGTCTTATTCATGATTTCTAACGAATAAGAATTTGAAAAAACAATTATATTCTTTAGGTGTTTGAACAATTATTGTCAACACTCAATCGTTATTAGATCAATTTTAAATATCGATAGGGGCTTTACCATTAATTGATTACTTTGTTTTTTTGTTCATGAATAATTTAACCATAGTGATATTGAATTCTAATCACGAATAAAAAACAAAAATAGAAATCGTTTTTTCTTTCTTTAGAATTTGAAACTTTCTAATCCATATGTCGAATTAAAAATATATGTATTTTATTAATTGTATGCAAAACATTCTTTTTTGTTTCAAATTTCAGAAAATAATTCAGTAACCACCCTCGATGATTATGAAATACAATCGAAGTAATAATCATATTATTCGATGATATTGTTAGAACAAAAAGATTGTTGTATGATAATGGTTGAAGTAGACCTAGATATGCTGTCATATTAGGATAAATAAATTAATTTTTTGATGCATGAGATAAATAAGAAGTTGTTTTTATAGCTAAAAAATAAAAGAAAAAGACTATTAGTCAATTGTAATTAAATCATTTTACGTGCTAATGATATTTTTCAAGCGATAATAGAGAATAATCTAATAATGAGAAGAGAAGTTTAAATGAATTACAAATAAAGTTTTCCAAATGTAACTTTGACAAAAAAAGTTAATTTCGAGAAAAGTATTCACTTGAAATATTTACATATAGGAGCAAAATCATTCATTAGCGGTGTGACTTCGTAAAATTAACACACATCTATCTCAAGGTAATGAACTTTTCTAGAAATAATTTTTATCTGCAACATGTATGTTAAGTTGTTCTAAATGCTCTGAAAAGTCAGCACTAGAGACTTTTGTTCAGAGGAGTTAGCAGTAAAATAAAATAGCGTTCGTGATATGACACAAAAACTCTAGATAATGGTAAGAGAAGTTTTTGTTTCAGAACTTGATAGGATCTCTGGAAAGTCGATTTTCACGAGAAAGCCTTTTGGGACTTGATCTTGCTGAAAATTTCACCAAAAATGCGATTCATGTCATAGAGTCTATCCTGAAGTCTTCGAATTTTTTTCTCATATGGTTAGAGAAATATTCATTAGTTACTTTTTAACTATTATCAGCTGAAAATGCCAACATTTTTATGTATGTCTATGTTAAAAGACCTTATTCAGAAAAATAACTCTTGTGAAGAATCAAAGTTAAATAAAAAATGGGTGTATCCCCTTTTATCTGAAATGGTCCATACACTATATTGTATAATGCTGCTTAGAGAATACCAAAAGTAACGAGATTTTCAAGAAAAAACACTGAAATAAATGTTCGAAGTAGTTCTCCTAGGTGTTCATACACAATTGCGTTAGTTCAAGCCATTTATCGAAACATTTTTTTTATAGTCATCTTTGTTGAGCGAGTTCATAATCTTGGTTATGGCTCGGTGCAATAATTGTGAGTTGCTTTGATCGGTTAGATTCTATTTGATGAGATCCAATAACTAAAAGTCACATGGTGTCACGTCTAGAGAATTCGGTAGTTATTGAATAATTTTGATACTTTTTGATTCGAGATAGCTTTAAACATTTTTATGAACATATGGTTTGGTATTGTCGTGGTGAAGGTTTTTGACATATATAGTAGATGCTGATCTTTTTGGTCGAATTTCATTGATGAGAAGTTCCAGACAATAATCAATGTAATAATCGTATTTGATAATTTGTCATTGTTTAGCATGATCGATTAACTCGGTGCCAGTCATTTTGAAAAACATGCAAAACAGTGTTTTTGGAGCAAAGTAGCAGTATCGAAACACAGTAGGTGGAGTTTCATTGATTGGTGTTCAGGCAGCACTCGATGGTGTTTGACCAATGTTGTTTATAATAAAACTATGACTCATCACTTGTTACTAAATCGCATAATTGCCACGGAGCTTGCTTGAGTTTCGCCAAATTTTCTTGACAGAGCCAAAGAAGTTTGATTCGTTGGTCGTCAATCAGAAGATTGGTTACTCAACGGACAGTTATTGTTTTTCAGCTTCAGATAGTCAGAAATAATTCGTTCAATGGTGCTGTGACTCTTACCAGTTTTGACTTGTATTTCATCAATAGTAAGATGAAGATCGACATCAATAAAGTATCAAACTTCTTCAATGGTTTTAGATGCTATCTCGGTTACGAGTCGACCAAGTCGTGGTTGATCTTGAATCTTTTCTTGACCTTCATGAAACAACTTTGATTGTCTAGCAACTATATTTTAAGGTGGAGTCTAGTCACTGAAAACAGAATATAATTCATCAGAAGTCAATTTCAGTTTAATACTAAGTGTAGTATTCATTAAATGTAAAAATGAAAATTTTTCTTATTCATGTAAAAAATGGGAATATATACTCATGTCATTCAAACCGCCTGTTAACTGCGATTCTTCTGTTTACTTTTTTCTGTATCGTAGTGCATGAATATTTTTTTCAACTCTTAGAAAAATGTTAGATTTCAGTCGAAACTATGTCCTCTTATTATTGTGAGCACGCTCAAGTCACCCGTACCAGCCACATAGGTTACTGTCGCTTAGGATACATCTGCAGATCAGCGACGCCCGCACTCTTTGATGTGGTCTTCAAGACTGAGAATATTAGTTGAATAGACAAATTATTTTAAAAAATGATAAAACAAGCATTAAACACCGTTCGAACCATCGGGTTTGATAAAAAAATTGACGCGACATGTATTTGTTATTCATTATTCATGTGAAAATATTTTATTACAAAATGAAAAGATTTTAGAAGAAAAGATTTTTTTTTCTGAATTTTAGTTCAAATTTTTGTGTATTTTATCCGTTCAAAATGATACTTTTTCACTTGATTCATTTGTTGTTTTTTGACTTTTATCTTCATTATCATTTAATGTAAGAATTTGTATATCACGACTAACATCAACTTTTGTTGGTTGTGGTACAATTGTTTTCGTATCTAATGATGTTGTTTCAGTATTTTCATTAATTGATTCAAGATTTGTTTGAAATGTTCCTATTGATTTACTATGAAATTCAGTTTTTGGTCGCACTTTTATTTGTGTTGCTGGAGCTGTTCGAGGACGAGAATCAGGTCTGGATGAATTTTCGTTTAATGGAGTTACTGGTATTAATGATGATACATGAGGAAATCTAATAGATTTTAAAAAAATGAAAATAAAATATTCTAAATTTAATCTTCTTTTTTTTTTTGTTATACCTATTTGCTAATAGTGAACCAAATGAATCCATATTCACTTGAATTGCTTTTGCATTTTCATTTAAATTATCACTAGTTGAAATACGACCATTTTCTTCCAGCCCTTTGATTGCTGCTATGATAAGTTGACGTGCAGCATCTTTTTCTAATTAAATTATATTAAAATAGGCAGGAAATAGAAAAAACAAATAAACTATTGTCAAAATTTATATGTTGAATATAATAGAATTACTTGCTAGTTCTAAAAAGATCTTTTTCAATATCTGTATCACTATGAAGTGTAAATTGTCATTTCTGATGGATAGATATGGGCAGAAGTTGAGTATTTTCGCTCGAATTCTTCAGTGAACAGAAAATTTCCGACAAGTGAATCCCTTATTATTCTTTGTCACTGTCTATAAATACAAGATGCCTTGTAACTTACCAAAATTCTCATATCCTCGACCTTGAAGAATTACATTCAACTAACCAGACTCCCACTTTTCGATTCATACCTAGTTAGTTGCATAACAAAAGCAATAAGTGAAAGGTACCCTAACGATGGCTCTTCCTTTACTCAATACTACTTGAGATAAGTAGACATGTTCGTAAGCAACGAAAGGACCAACTTGTTTGTTATAGAGTTCAATATTGATGAATAAGTTTATATATTAAAAAAAAAACAGAACAAACCATTAGGGCCTGAAGAAACAAGCCATGATTGTATTTCATTAATATTCTCAGTTTGTAATATTTGACAAAGTACTTGAAGCATCTACGAAAAATGAATATTTTGAACAAAAGAAAAAAAAAACTATTATATGTATTCAAAATATTAGATATTTATCCTTACCCATACTTCTCTTTCTTGTTCATCAACACAAAATAGATGATTAGATAAAACAGATTTAAATGGTGTTCGTCGACGTGATGATCGACAACGATTTGCAGATTTCGGTGTTTCATTCCATCGACCTGATTGTCGACTATATTGACCAGTTGTTGGTGGTGTTTTACTAACAGATAACGATGGTAGTGGTGATGGTGGTGTTTCCTTTCGATTTTCTATTTCTAATAATTCATCTGATGTTACCAAACCAATCATTTCAGCAATATGTGCTAATTCACGTCTCCAATTCTCTGTATCATCAACTAGGAGTAAATAAATAATAAATTTTATTATATTCTATTTCCAATAAAGACTTACCTACCTAAAAATTAAACAATTAAAAAAAACACACATAAAAGAAATCAGAAAAAAATTAATAAATCGAAAATCATACCGTTCCGGATGGATTCCAACCAGGCATAGGAGGAAGTAATCGTTCTCGACGTTTTTTTGGTTGAATTTTATTTGCATATGATTGTAATAATGTTTCATTATAAGAATTTGGTGAAAATTCGAGACGAAAATGTGGATCAGACATTAATGGTTTTGTAAAGTCGTTTACTATAGGTATTGGTAAACGAAGTGGTGCTTCTCGAACATGACATACTCTTTGACCTGCAGCTCCTTAAATATTTTTTATTTGAAATAACAATAAAAAATTTTCATTTCAATAAAACGTTTGAATTACCTGTTATAAATCTTAAATATCTCGGTTGTGCCACATGTCTTGCAAAGAACATATTTTTAGATAATTGTCCAAAACGATTTCGTGTTGGTGAACGTGATCGTTCAACATCCGTAGTCATTTTTCTCTTTCTTTGAAATTATATGTATATGTATACTTATTGTTTCTTTTTTAAATGTAAAAAAAGAAAAGAAAAGTATTTTATGTACAAGTGTATACATCAAAGAAAGTTGTGCAACCGAGCAACAGTGATGAGATTTAGTGATTAAATTGTATATGACAATGCATAGAAATCAAACAAATCATTTAGTTATAGTAACAAAAAGAATATTTTTGAAGACTAAAAAAAAAAAGTCGTTTAAGAAAGTCTTTTGTTTTTTTTTTCAAGATTTCTATTTATTTCAAACATGATGTAAAAGTTGTTCGATAACTTCATTTTTTCACTTTGTGATAATTTGAGATGTCGGAACAAGATTAAGTGGAATAGGTAATTTTCTACATCTCATGCACAACTGAATGAACAGAACTAATTATTTTTCGAATTAAATATAAGAAGAATAAAACCATGAATAGTAAAAGTCAGTCATGTTCTCTATAAGTAACTAACAAATATATCATGATACAATCAAGAATATCTAAGTTATAATCATTTTTAAAACTTAATTTTCAAATAAAAATTAAAAACTTAATGAAGAAAAAGGATTTATATATAATTATATCAATTAAATTAAATAGAAAATAAATGAATGTCAAACGTATTCGTAATTCATTCATTTTTATTTTCAAAATTCATTTTATTTGTATTTTTTTAATTATAACAAATGAATATACATAATAATGGATGGTGCAAATTAAACGAAACCATTTCTCAGATACACTTTCAAAAAGTCATACTATAAAGAATTTTTTGCTCTACAAAACTCTTGTATTTATTTTTCAACTAAGTCCTTTTTTTTGTCGAAGTAAAAATTTCAAATATTCACACTTAAACATCCAACTTGTTTTACCAATAGTTTTCTGAAATAACAAGTATACAACAAAATTTTGCATCTATTGATAAATGTTTCAGAATTTCAAAAGAAATTTTTACAACAATAATCATGAAGTACAACATCTACAAAAAAAAGCCTTGTTTGACAAGATTACATGATTATTCTTTTCTTTCATGTCGATACAACCTAATTGTCTGTACTTTTCAACATAACAGTCACAACATTTTATTCAGACTTAGATTCGACATTCGACAGCACGATAATGATTATTTCATATACTCAGTGTCACTTTGGAACTGATGTTTTCCTTTATGACATGTGTAGAAAAATATCACTAGATTTTAGTTCTAAACTTTTTTCCTTCGTGAACGATAGTACAAGAAACCTTGTGAAAATTGTAGACGCAAAAAAGTACAAAATTCTCTATCGAATGACTTTCTAAAAATGTATTGGAATAACCTAGAATGATATTATTCCATTTGATCTGCATTATTAATTAAACATTCAACTTTGTATTCAAATATTGACATCATCTAATAGAAAAAAATAACGTATTTTCCTACATATTTTATCTCATGATTAACAATGAATTCATTGAAGTGCATTAAATTTTTCTTTTTATATCCACTACTTAGCCATTATATCTCAAAAGTAATTATTCTAAAATTATTTCATGAAATCGAAGAAAAATCCGGAACATCGCTAGTTACTGAAAATGTGTTCGAGCATGAACAAAAACAAAAACCATATTGACAAATCACGATAAATTTGCATCTCTCTTTATGTCACATGCATGCACATATGTATATATATATATGTATATAATGTTTGCACGATCGTGCAACGGAGAATTTCATGTCTATAAGACTGAAATTCAACTATATAATGTTATTCAAGAAGAAAAAGTCAAGTTCTGTTTGACATACTTCTATTATATACGAAGTTACACGAATTGATAAAATTGTAACTATGTCATATAATTATTTCGAATGAATTAATTATCGATTAATTGATAACATCGTAATCAAAAAATATGTATATAGATCTTTATAATTAATTGTACATTTTCAAAAACATGCAAATCATTTTTTTTGTAAAAATATTTTTAAAAAATTGTACAGGAAAAAAATCCGAATTACATTTTATTAATGTTGGACATAATTGTCGTTTTTTTCAGGTAACTTTAAATGTTGTAACTAACAAAATAGATCCTCTGAATATTATGATTCGATTTAAACAATACGTAAATATAGAATTAGAATAATATCAAAAATTTATTTTATTTTAAGATTTTTTTTTCTGCAGATGACAGTATTCATTTTCACGTCAAATGACAAGATTGATTATGAAAATAAATTAAGCCCCCTAGCTGAGAGTGAAAGAACAAATAAAATTAAGACGCAAAAGCTTCCTGATAATGTCAAATGACTCTTTCATTCTATGATTTCCTTCTAGTACAATTAAAATGTATTATATATTATGAAAGAAAAATCCAAAGATAAAATAAATCTCGATGATACTTCATCGATTGCATTCTAAACTTAGAAGTTGTTCCTTCTTGTTTATCTTGTTTATCTTGTTTGTTTCTTATTGTGTTTATTCGATGTATCGTTTTTATTTTTAAATTAGCTTTACAATTGTAATTTATACCGAACTGTGACTGATAAGCAACATACTAGAATGCGAGAAATATTAAAAAAATCCAATTGGGTGAAGTCTTTTCTTTTTGACTCAATGAAAGTCTGGTTCTAGTAAATATTTAACTTATTCAACTATAAAGCATTTTTTTTTCTATTAATACAATATTCAAATGTTGTTTAACTCAAGCCATGATAACTATGTCATAAACTACAAAACTTAGAATCATATAAAACATTAACAATATTTAATTCTGCTTTTTTCTCTACAATGTTATTAATAATTTTTCGTACGAAAAAAATGGTATGTATGTTTTTTTAAATACACAATTAACTATAAATATAGATATTTTTTTATTACAATATCAATAATTCATTGATAGTTATTTGGTAATTAGTTAGTCTGAAATAATTTCGACAAAATTCTATGTCATAGTGACAATTTCGTCAATCGTATAATTTTCCTACGACATTTTTTTCTCTGCTCCATTTGATTTCAATGAAAGAACAAAAAAAAAGAACATGGAAAGGAAATAGGGATATGTCACAATTTGAAACGATAATATGAAAAAAAGGAAAAGACAAGCTGGTGCGTCGAGTAGATATATATGAGAATTGCCTATTAGACATTCATATAGATCTGAATCACAAATAGAATGACGAAACACTGTGATTTTAATGTTCTTGTTAGTTTGCGCGAATACGAGAAGAAAAGAAAAAAAGAGGCTAATACCGTTGACAAAAAAAAAGAATCATCAATTTTATATCAACACCAATAACAGAATTTTCTCTTCTATCTTTTTTTCTCACTCACTCTCTCTCTCTCTCTTCCTCTCTTTTTCTCGTCCATGGAAAAGTAGGATAACATCGGTAGGAGACTAATATAACCTTTTCTTATCATTGCTTTACTATCTATAAAAGTTTTTTTTTTCAAAAAATTTGAAATTCTTGAGAATATTTTTTAATAGCTTCATCTTTTTTGTTTTTACTATTTATAGAATAGAAGCTTTATTTTTGCATTTGTTTTCTATAAAAGAATATGATGAAGATTTATATTAATATAACCTATATTAACAGATATATATTTCACTTATCTTAGATTTATTGTATTTATATATAGACTTTAGCCGGAAACAAACTAAGATTATAGAAAGCGCAGAGAGTCTTATTGTGCATCTCTTTACATCCTTCGATTTCTCTCATAAGCTCAATGTTTTACATTGCAACAATAATGACGTTTGTTTATTATACTTAAAAAATAATATATAAAAAATAATAAGTAACTCGAATGTTCCGATATATATATATATATATGTTTTTTTTTCTCTGTTTCCATTTGCATCGATCATTTTATCGAATGATCAATTACACTTCAAGAATAAAATAAATACTAATAATATATATAGATATATTCGAATAAATATAAAGTTTGTTTTTTCTTTTAGATTTAACTATGTTACAAGAATTTAATGAAAATATTAATTCATCTTATCAATCAAATTCATTATGGAATAAAAATTTTCATAGAAATACATCTTTATTATTTTCATTTATACTTTTTTTTGCTTATGCTATTATATTTTTAATTGGTCTTATTGCAAATATATTTGTTATTATTGTTATTATAAAATTTCGACGAATGCGTACATTAACAAATCGTTTTTTACTCAATCTTGCTATATCCGATCTTCTAGCAACATTAATTTGTATACCACCAAATGCTTATCATCATTATGACAAACGTTGGATATTTGGAGAATTTCTTTGTCGATTTGTTCCATTCATACAGGGTAAAGTTGTTGTTTTTTGACAAATATAAATAGACATACACAAAAATAATGAATGTGCCGAAATAGAAATAAATTTAATTGATGCATATTGCTTCGATTCAAGATAAACTAGTAAAGTAGACAGTCGACTAGCTTCCTGTTTTGAATCTTATAATGGAACAGAAGGAAAAAAACTAGGCGTACACAAATAATTCAATTTATTATGGCTTTCGATTCGTACGAGATTACCAAAAAAACAAAGAAAAAAGAATAGATATGTTCCAATTTGGGTCGTTCATAAATCCCAAAGAATATTTTTCTTCCTGTCATTTTATATGTTTTTTTAATTGATATTCATACATTAGAAAGAAAACCAAAATGTAATCTAATCGAAAACTACAACAGACATTGTCATTTATCTTATATGACAAGAATTCTCTGAGGATACTTCGAGATTTATGTCACGCTTCTTATAAAATTCTGCATATATTATAAACTTTATAGCATATTATCTATCTCTAGGTACATCTGTAGCTGTTTCAATTTTTACATTAATGGCTGGTAAGAAAATATGATATTTATTTTTTAATGAATATTTTTTATGATTAGTAAGTGTTGATCGTTTTATTGCTATACATAAACCAATGCATTCTAAATTATTATGTACATCAACAAGAATTTTTGTTATAATTGGAATAATATGGATTGCTTGTATGTTGTCATATTTTATTTGAATTCAAGTTTATTTTTAATTTTATTTTCTATAGCTTTTCTTCTAATGATTCCTTTAATAGTACATCATAGAATAATTAGTCTATTTGATACAACAGTAACAACATGTGCTGAAGAATGGCATCAAAATATGAATGCTCGATTAGTCTATGATTTTATTCTACTTGTTGTCCTTTTCATAGTACCATTAACACTTATGACATATTGTTATATTCGTATAAGTTTTTCTCTTTGGTTCATTGATTCAAATGTTCGTAAACCATTACCAACATCATCAACAGCAACAACAATAAATACTGCACGTTTTTCAGGACTATCAGATGATATTCCTCATAATGATATGAAAGAAATTCGACAACAACTATCACCAAAAAATCGACCATACTATATTCATTATCATAAAGTAAATGAAAATGATTCTCAACGAAAACAAAAAGAAAATCAAAATAAAGATGAATATCGTTTATTAGTTAATTTATCTGGAAAAAAATTTATATCAAATCGACCAGTACGAAGTACAACAATAAATGATATTAAACCAAAATCATTTTCTATAACACCCACAACAACAACAACAACAACAATAACAGTACCAACAACTGCACGTGCAATATGTCGTCGTTCATCGTCACTTATTGGTCGACATTTTGGAGAAAATACTTATACTAATAATCATTTAAATCAACTTCAACAAACAAGACAAATATCATTACGAACTCGACATTCACCAAGTCCACATACTAGTAGAATACATCGTTCAAGTTTTACATCTTTACAAAGTCAAAACAGAATTATTGGTAGTACCATTCGAAGATTAAATGGCAATAATCATAACAATACTACTACTAATAATAATAATAATAAACGTCGATCAACGGTAGATATTGAATATTCAAGTCGATTTTTAAAAAGTCGTCGACGTGTTGTTAAATTATTAATTACTTTAGGTAAAATATTTTTTTTTTCTCAAAGCAAAAAAAAAAAAATATGAAATTATTTATTCATGTTTTCTTTTTATTCTTTCTATAGTTATTGTTTTTTTTATTACACGCCTTCCATTAAATATACTTTCTATCTATATTGATATAACATCGCATACTTATTTACCTGAAAATACATTTACAAATAGAACTAAATCAGAAATAATCGACGAAACAAATGTTGTTTTTTCATCAGATGTAACAAATGCAGATAGGAAAATGACACTTGTTCTTTATGTTAGTCCTATTTTACAATTAATTTCCTTATCAAATTCTGTTATTAATCCATTATGTTATTGTGTTATGAGTCATGCTGTTAAAAATATAATTATACTTATACGACAAAAATTACGTCGACGTGGACAAAACAAAGCATCAGCATTACCATTAACACAACGGCCTGTTGCACGTAATCAATCAGTACAAAGAATGATACAACATCGAAATTCATTTGACAATGACATATTAGTTCATTGAACTTTTATTTCTATTGTGTATAATATATATATATGTATATATAAAATTTTCAAATTATTAATAAAATAAAAACCTATTTTAACAATAATCTAAAATAAACTCATTAGTATTCTATATATGAACAGTTTGATTCGTTAGCGGCGTATTACTGGACTCTGAAATTTCTTCTAACTAACTTTTATGCTATAGATATATGTTGAATTACTTTAGATGCTCTGAAAAATTCAACTCTATGCCAAGTTATTATTTCAAGACTAGCGTTAGTGACATGCCAGAAGGTAGAACAAAAGACTTTCACTATAAGCCTTTCTATTTATAAATACTGCAAGTTCAATGAGTATTTTTGAAAACTAAGTAATGCATTGAGTGAAGAATTCTTCAGGCTAGAATTACTGCCGGTAATGTTTTTTCAAAATATTGCGGTTATATATTGTTCGCGACATAAATAAGTATGAATATAGAAACGGAAAATCTCCTTGTAACTGAATGAGAGATTTAAAAAAAAAAAAAAACAATTCCATATGACACGAATTCTTACTGAAGATCTTGAGGTGATAGTAGAATAAAAAATTTCGCTCTTGGATATGAGCATACCTCGGAAAAAATTAGTTAACTAATTAGCTAATTAAGTTTAATTAGGTGTAAGCTAAAGAAAATAAAGCAATTACTATTGCTAATGTATATAGCTTTTTTTGTATAAATACCATACTAACAGAATTATCTAATCAAAGTGAATAAAGATGAAAGTTACAGTAAATGTATATTTATGAAAAAAAAAACTAATAATAGAATTTACTGCATCAGAGAGCAAGATAATAGAGTGCACATTATTCTTTAATGTGGACTTGACGATGGTTTATTATAAGAATGAATTGAGTTATCATATTTATGTATTCAGTCTAGGTGATATCAATATAAAATGAGAAATTATAAAATCTTGTAAATATTTTATTATCGAATTCAATCATAATAAAATAAAATGTTGATTCGATACATTTACAAGTAATTAAATATAAAGTATTACCTATAAAAAGAGAGATGATCAGGTAAACATCAAGATGGTTTTTCTAATATTTTTTATAGTAAAAGAAATTTCGTTTAACGAATTCACTATTAATTTTGTTACTTCTGTATGTTAGTATCGAAACAGCATAGAGGATCAGTTTTTTTTTGTAAAGATAATTTATGATTTCTTTAACAAACTTTATTTATGTAGTGTTTTAATTGGATGATATCAATTTTATGTTATGTACTGATTATTTAAAAGAAGCACGTGTTTAAAATAAAAATCCACATGAAATTTCGACGAATCTTATGAGACATAAAAATTCTTGATAGAAAATCTGATTGTATGAATTGACGGCCTTTTATGAGTCCTATCAAAGAGATCATAAACATTCTGGTTTTTTTTAAATGATCATCTGAGTAAAGATGTATACAATCAAAAAATAGAAACGTACCACGTCTGAAGCAGAACCATGAGAAAAACAGTTGCTTGAGTCGGAACTAAAAATTGTACTTAAATTTTCTATGACTCTTAACGAATTATGTTAAAAATCACACCAATCAAAACAAAATTCAAGAGAAATGGCGAAAAAAGGAACGAGGTAACATTCACTGAATGATTCGATCAGAACATAAGTACTTGAGACTTTTTAGATTTCATTTAAATAAATTCTGAAATAATTTTGTCTAACGAGAGAAGATTACCAACTATTCAATTGCTTTTTAGCCAAAGCCTAGTGGATTATAGGTAATTGACCATGCTGGTTCTGAATATTGACATCATTTTTGCCGCTAGACCTTCAAAGAGCCGGTTTTCTATAGTGAAAAACTTTTTCCATCAAAATGTATTTTTGATGTGTCCAATTCATAAAGTGCTTCGATTTGAGTATAGAAAATTATTTTATTCAAAATTTGAATTATTACAGTGGAAACTAGAGAAGTAACAAGTTTGTAGTACTTGAACTTCTATAGGTTTTTCATACTATTAGATATCACTGTGTTGAATACGCATTGCTATTACACTATATTATGTCTAGACATCAATAACACACTCTGCAGCTTGTGAGAGAACTCCAAATTTTGATCTTTCGAGATCCGATGATGAACAAAAATTCACAAGGACTTTATCTTACTCAAAGTTTTTTTTAGATTAAGAAGGGTGTAAGATGTAGATGAAGACGAAGTCTTTATTCTATCCACACCCACGTTCTTTTTTTGAGTGACGGGTAAAGTGATATCTAAACTTAGGTTGACATTAATTTAATCCGACAAGCAATTTTTAATATTGACAGGATTCATGGTCACTAAAGTTTCGCACGAAGAGAAATAATAAGAAAATAATCACTACTTAAACAAGTGTAAAATAATTCTTTTCCTGATAATCATAAAATGATGTTGTTAGAAAAACGAAAGGACAGATTATAATAATATAAATGAATATAGGTTAACAGTTGAAGAGAAAATCTGAAAATATGTCGAATAATATCTAAAACAAAGTTAAAAATAAAACATAGAATGTAAGTGTTGAAAGAAAAGCGTAAGAGATAATAAGAATTAAAACTGCTTACTTTTCCAGCCTCCTCTATCATGATTCAAGTTTTGAAAAAAACAAAGGTTTTTATACTCAGCTCGAGGCGCTCAAATACATTTTTTGACGAAGAAATTTTTTGCTATAGAAAATTGGACATTGGGAGGCCTATCAGAAAAAATTATGTTGATATTCGGAATCAATATGGTCGATTACCTATAATTCACTAGGTTTCGGGTAAAAAGTGATGGAATAGTTGGGGATCTTTCCTTGTCATTAAATGTTTAAATACTAAATTTCAATTTAAAGTATATTAAAATCTCTCTTAAATGAATACCGTCGTCATTATTGAGAAATGTTTCTGTATGAGAGATGCTATATATTTGACTACAAAATAAAAACAAGTTGCAGAATATAAGTTTCTTTACTAGTTTTGAAATAATTAGAGTCAATTCTCTGTATTGTTCATCTTCCTTCATTTGAATATTGATAAACCTAAAGTCTTTTCAACAAAAAATTCAAAACTTTGCCTTGTTTCATAAAGTTCTATATTATTGTTTCGATCTCGATATACGCAAATTTGATAAACGTTGCTGTACCATTCATCAAGTATTATTATGTCAAAACCTTTGAATTTGTGTTTGATATTTTGATTTTACTATGTTTGATAATCATATAAATATTCTTTTGCTTTTTGTTTTAAAAAATTAGATACACAGAATAAAGTGAAATATTCAATTTTTCAGTTAATTCCTGTTGTGATGAACCATTATTACCGTTGTTATCATTAATTTATTGAATTTTTTTCATTTAATTTAAGATGTTATTGTAATGTCATTGCTTTCCTTGATATGTACAGTAGTGTCCTACACGGGTACAACTTTTTGCAACCGGACCGGCACCTTTTTATACCCAAGCCTAAACCGATCCCGGACTCGAGCTAATCGACATTCCACAGATACTTTCACAGTACTGTTTCCAAACTTTTGTTTTCTATGAAAAAGTATACTTATTATTTAGTTTAAAAAAATTTCTATTCAAGAAAATGAATTATTCATGTATTCTTATATTTTAGAATATTAATTTTTATTAATTATAGTCCTGGGGAACTTTTAATTTAACATTATTCTCTTCAATAAATAATACAAATTTATACAAAATTTAATTTTGTTCAATTTTATTCAATTATAAACATAAGTTTTGAATACAATAAAAAAAAATTTAATAATAGCGAATAACATCTCTTGCTTTTATTATTTCTTCTAAATTTTCCATGAAAATTAAAATTTCCATTCATTATTTCGAATATCTGCGAGAAAAAGAAAAAGAAAAGAAAGATACTTTCATAGTTTTGTTTTAAAAAGACAGAAAAAAAAGAACGTCTTTCATATTCTTTGTTTACATTGTCGTTTATGTTCTCTTACTTGTCTTAATACATACAAGAAGAACCAGCACAAAAAGAAAAGGAAAAAATTTGACAAAGACACACCGAGCAATAAGACAAAAAAGAAAAAGAAATATTGAATAACATTTAAACAAACGAACAAAGCATCAAAGATACAAGAGATTGTATCTATTGATATGCACATTATTAGGGAATAAATGTTAAATTATCAACCGTGTACAGAGGACAAGAAAAAAATAAATAACAAGTTTTATTAACGTACAGGTGCATATATATTTATTTTTTATATTAATTTTTTTCACTGCGTACATAGACATTCAAAATTTGAAGAATATTTCGATATATTCGTTTAGTAGTATACAAAGAATTTAATCGAATAAATACGTAAATAAACCAAGAAAAGGAGAAAACGAGAGAAAGACATGCAACTATTGAACAGAAACTTGAAGTAATAAAAAAAAAAAGAAGAGGAAAAGAAAAACAAAATTTTAATCAACACCTTCGAATGCTTCACTCATTTCCATCGCTTGAATTAATTTTTGACGTAAATCTGAATAAGCTTCATATGGTGGTAGATCAAGACGATTGAAACTTTAAAAGAAAAGAAGAATATTAATTTATGAAAAAATAAATAAAATAACAAACCAAGTATGAGCACGCGGTAATTTTGTTCGATCACCCCATTTTTCAATAGTAAATAATTGTGGACCAGTTGAACCCCATAATTCACGAAAACCATTCATTGGCAAACGAGATGTACCAGTTACAAATTGAAGTAAACGAGTACGTTCTTCAGGCTTAAATGATCCAATAGCCTACAAAAAAATATTTATTAAACAATTGATAATTATTCATTTGAATTCGAATCTTAAAATATTCATCGTTCAGTTTTATGTTAATAAATTTTCTTACGAGAGAATCATTTCTACTAAATCAATCGCTTTGTTTTTAACAAAAGCTACCGAAGTTTTCGGTTATTCATCATACTGATTTTTAACATGAGTATGAGAAATCTTCTTACGTATTTCAATACTAGTTTTTCAAACTAACAAAGTTTGTACC